TTCAAGCATTTTCTTGTTAAATTTCCCATCTGAGGGTGTAAACCTGGGAGCAGTACAGATATTTTAGGGGTGGGAAAACAAGGTAATAAGGCATTCTTTTTGTTATCTCGGAGTGGGGAATAACATATTTAGCAATTTTTTCTTATCCCCACATACCCCAAAGATGGGGAGGGCTGGGGTTTATATTGACTAGCGCATAATGCATTATATATTCAACACTGCTATTATGGTGGGAAGAGCAATTGGAGCAATAAAAACAGCCTTTTTATACACTTTCAATATTGCATATCACAACTATGTAACTTGATACAAGGTCACAAAGAATGACAAAATCAATCATACCACTGTACAGCAAAATGTTTAATAAAGCATTTAGAATTTACTGAGAGTGACTGCGATATGCAATGCAAATTGACAGTCATTGGAGAAATGTGGTTCAAAAAAAAAATCAAATATGGAAAAGCACACTTGATCTGTTTTCACAATAGTGGTGTGTTCAGTAATGGTATTGGCGGCCATCTTGGACTGCCTTGTCCTAATTAAGCATGCACCCCCACCCCACGGGGTATTCCCCCAATTTGAAAAACCATATTCCTATTTATGATGAAGTGTTGCCATATGCGAAAAGATTAAAGGTGGAACATTCTCCCAGTGATTAATACAATCCAGAATTATGACTCAACATGAATTACATTTGTTAAACTTGCTAAACAGAAATTTAAACAGAATATTACATTGACTGTTTGACATCATGCATGAAAAACATGAATATGACAATCAAGATGATACATCATCCGTGCTATGCAGACAACTGTACACAATAAGTCACTAAGCACAGCTGCACACTGTTAATACATTTATGATTTATACCATGTATTAATAACTCCCGGCAGTACCAACAGAACAAAGTAGCATTTGGTCATATAGTGCAGCCTCTACATTTATATAAAGGTTGAAAGTAACTCCACAGATACATCATCATCATTTCTGTTCCACAATCTCATCCGGTAAACAGCAAAGTTGTGATGTTTTTACTGTCTATAGCAAACACCTACCCAAACCCTGTGCGCATATATATATATATTCCCCCAGACCTGGTCAGCTTAACAGTCTATCCAAATGTTGTCAGTCATTCTCTCTGCAGCACACTCCCGCCCTCCTTTTATAGTTAGATTCTAGATCAGCAATGAACAGCATAAATGACACATGATCATCTTCAGTGGGAAAAACAGTGACACCTTTGTTGATGATTTTCCCTCGTTTCCTCTTAAAAACACAGCAAGCGCATAACGCTACACGGAATAATAACTCTTACATGTAGTACATGATTTAACGTCCGGCCAACTACGCCATGATATTGCCTAGCACAGCAAGAGTGGGCAATTTAAAACAAAGCTAGAAAAGAACACATAAAATGCAACCAATTTCGAGTTGATGGGGATTACCTGCCATCATCACTTCATAGGTCAACGTAGCAATTTATTTTAAATACCAAATACGAGTCTTACATTTAGAGTAGTGACGGAAAAATAAAGGAGCTCGCATTTTGAGAAGAAAATAAAAAAATATATACCGGTATATATACATGTATATACTCAAATATAAAAAAAAAATCTGTACGTTTTATTATTGGACATCATATCAGTTATATTATTTTTAAAATTTAAATTATAAATAATGAATAAAACAAAATATAAAAGAACAGATAGACTGGCGAGTCATTGTCTATGGCTATACAATGTTACAATAAAGCAGCTCGGAAGTAATATCCACTAGCATGCAATTAAAACTCATCTTGATTAATGCTTGTGTTAGTGTTTTGCGGATATGCATTCACTCAAACATGCATACAATCCATAAAATTGAAATCCACAGATGACTATTTTTATCCACACATTGATAGACTTTTAAAGTCGCTTTCTAAAGCACAACGATAACCAAGAAGGCAACCTGTTCTACTATACCGGAGGAAAAAAAAAAAGTCAATAAATTCAGAACTGAGCAATAGAAGCTTGTACTTGTGTTCAGAGATCACTTATCAAAATGTCTTGAAAAGATAGCAAAAACGCAGGTTGTTAACAGTAGGATCTAATGTTAGTAGCAAATATGCATTAGAGGCGGACAACATACCATTATCTTGCAATATAAAATATTGTAAAATTTTATAAGAGGTGGGAGTAAATACCAGCAGATATAAGTACATGGAATTCTAAGCAAAATAGCATGGATATTTAAAACCAGAAAACAATGTTTAACTATAAAATTGGATCAAAATACATCCTAGTATCCAAATTAAAATAACAGTTTCCATAGAAAAGCATAACTGATAGATGATAGAATACCTGGCCTGCCTGCTCCCACCACATCCCACCCTCCTTGAACATATGAAACACAAAATAACACATAAAGTGGAATATGAACAAAACCAGATTTGACAACTACAAAATTTGTGTTGTGTTGAAAACCCTTAGGTTTGGAATAAAAATCAAATGACAGGTGGAATGGACAAAAGGCACTAAATATCAATGTACATCACCAACCATCCCAATCAAATTAACCAAAATAAACCAAATAAAAAATATACCAAATACATAATTTCCATGGCAACAACATCTGATTCTCCCTTTGTTGCAATACTGTATGATTTAATTAACCGAGTGAACAAACACAAAAAAACAGCAATGTCAGTTCAGACAATACTATTATAACCCACTTTATATATTCTTACACAAATGTCCCCAGTGAGTTTGTGAGCAGAAATAATGGTTGTCCATTTAATAATTCAACACTAGATGTAGACGTAGTAAAACTTGTAAAATGGGATAATTAGCAATCCATGATATCTGCTTTATTATAATACTCCATCTAACAAGGCAGAGAAAAATCTCAAAATGTTGGCTCTAATGATAAGACCTCAAACGACACATTTAATAGATTTGTGTTTAATTTGCTTCAATGCACTACTATTCAGGATAGAAGTATCATAAACAATGCCAGGAATTATGAGTACTCCCATAATGCAAAAATCTGTTGAGGTCAGATCTGCCGTCGCTATTTGTAAATTGAAATCTGCTGAGTACATTAGAGCGACTTGAATTGAATGCCAGGAGGCTACTAGATATGTTGTACATGTGGTGATAGCCCTTGTGAACACATTTCAAATACAGAAATACCTTATGGTGCAAGTGCAAATATTCATCTGAACTTCCCCAGCGTTCGTAGCGATAAAGTCCATGTTCGTGGCGCGGAGAGTGCGGTGTGTGGAAATAAGTAGGAGAAGCTCGTCCCGAGGTTGAAGTAAGCGCCGAGCTTACCACACTCAACACTGACATTGCCAGCAATCTACGGTGGGTGGTTATCTATGTACAAGAAACGTACACTATAAACCACATGTACAGTGAAGTCTGTGGTAAGCTTGGCCGGCAGCCAACCACAGCCACTTAATGTATGTATATGTATGTATTGACGAGCCTGAAAGTGGGAGTTGCAAGTGTTCCGAATATTGATTAGGCAGATCAGCTGTGCTGATATCCAAATCTACCTACATGTATGGCCGGCTTCACTAACTGCCATTAGTGCAAAAGGTAATTAAACATGTACGAGCGATGCCTGTAACCTTTTGTTTTCTGAAAGCTTTATAGATTAACAATACAGCTATTATGCTATAAATTGACAGTGAAATGACTCACCGCATGACTCCCAGCAAAATAACAACGTTGGTCAATTTTAAATGTGCAACCCTCACATTTTATGTTATTCATTTAAATAATTAAGTAACATAACGAAGAGAATACATTACATAATGCTGGTTCTATATTCAGTTTAATCAGCAGAAAAAGAAATTTTAGGAGTTGCGCATAACAATGAACAGCTATTTAAGGAAACCTTTAAATTAGACAATAGAATTGACCAGCTTTTGTTATTTTTAAAAGCGATGAATCAGGGTATCATGTTGTTTTGAATATGATACAGGTG